CCACTCCGGGGCTAGTGAAAGTTGGTGATTATTTCCAAACTGCAGAGTCCGTGGTTTCCCAGATTTCTGTAAGGCACTTGAGCTTAGACCTTGAAGAAGGGTTCACTGAGAAAATGCACTTCACAGACCCCCTTTTAGAGGAAATGGAGTCGATTGTCAGAGTGGTTCTGAGCACACTGGCGGGGTGCCTCACATGTCTGAATTGGTTCTCAGAAGCGCCAAACCACTAAGAAAGTTTACCAAGGACTCATTCCCCAGCCCAGAAAGCGTTGTTCACAAAGAGTGCCCAGCAGACATAGCCCGAGTCACTGGCACTTAGGCCGCTGGAAAAACAATCTTATGACTGAAAAGAGCTCCTTCTAAAGGCCACTCCCAGACCTCCTCTGACAGGTAGTTCAGGAAGTTCATTTGGGGCAGAAGATACATCGAACATTGGCAGGTCCTTTAGGCACATTAGACTCGGCTCTACAGAAACGGAAACCTCTGAATACACTGTCTTCCATGGTCCTATTTTCAAAATGTTTGTACTTGCTGATTCAGTGGGTTTCCCTGAGCTAGGTGAGTTAACAGACAGCAGTAGGCCATGAAGACATGTTACACTGGGACCCAAAGAAACCTCCTTTGCCTTTCAGATGGATGTGAGTCACGCAGCGGCAACCCCGAGCTCTGCCAGGTGGACACAAGAGTTCACGGTTCGCTTCCCTGCAGACAAGGAAGCTGCAGCTCCTGGTGTGTCTGACCGTGGTACCTGGAGAGACACTGGCGGTAGAAGGGAGCCGACAGGGGGTGGGACCTTCCAGGCCTCTGCAGGTGACGGAACCCAAGCCCATGGGCCGAAGGACAAGGAAGAAGCTGCATTTAGTAAGACGGTGCAGCTGCAGAGGATGGTCGACCAGAGGTCGGTGGTTTCTGATGAAAAGAAGGTTGCCTTGCTCTATCTAGACAGTGAGGATGGGGAAGAAAGTGATGGGCACTGGTTTTGAGAAAGAGAAAGATTAAATAGCATCTTACTTGATAACAACAGTGAAGAGGGTCGAGGCTCACTCTTTATGAAAGCCTCTGCTTTAAAAAATTTCTTCAAAGAGGCAATGGTCAATTTGCTTTATCATTACTGTGCGAAGATTTCATCAGAACAATTCAGGCCTTAAAAGGCATTGGAATTTTAATTTTGTGTGGGGACTTTTACAGAATACTCCTTATCTTTTTAATCTCAAAACATTTCTTTTTCTGGAGTTTTCTACTTCTGGAGAGAGTTTCTCCCAGTTTTGGTCACAGAAATGCCTCACCTCTTTTTAAAATGACTATTACAGGATGCCTAAACTATAGCCCAGCCAAATCAGTCTCACAGCTGTCAAGTGGCTTCCGACTCTTGGTGACCCAATGGGACAGAGTAGAACTGTCCCCGAGGGTTTCCAAGGCTGTCGTTTGATGGAGGCATAGCGTCACTGGTGGCTTCACACTGCTTAGCACCTTAATCAGTGCACCACTGGGCTCCCGTTTTTAAACAGTAATCAGTACAGTTTAAGGCAAGAGTGAAGACAATATTCTCTTTTCCAATAGAAATCCTAGAAAACAGGCAGACTGCTTATATATATAAAAAATCTGCTAAGCGATTTTATTTTTAGGAAAAAGGATATAGAGTTAAACTCAAGTTTTCAATGAATTGCATGTGCAGGCTCTAAAAATACTGTAATATTTTATTTGTGGCGAGGACAACGGTAGTCTGCTATATTCAGTATATTTAGTCTGTGTGCATAGGTTCCTGGAACGTGTCCCTGGATCCATGTCCTGCAGGTGGAATGACTATATTGTGAATTGCTTACGGTAGAGTTTCCTTTCTGCTTTTGTTAAAGACCTTTTTGTAACACTAAGTAGCACACAGTCAGAACAAATCTTTTACCACAAGTTCTGGAACAGCCAGCTCCCTAAGAGTATACTTGAGTTTCTCTATCCCATTAACCCTTTGTTGTTGTTGATTAGTGCCATTGAGTCGGTTCCGACTCCTAGCGACCTGTAATAGGGTTTCTGAGGAGCAGCCACTGACCTTGCAGTTCAAACCAACCTTGGGACCCAGTGCTAATCCTATAGTGCCACACTAGGACTCCCACTTTAATCCTTAGCATCTAAATATTTAATTTCACTGATGGGAGGTGGACCAGAAGACAATTTGATGCTTGATCGAAGCCATACCTGCAAGATGGGGTGAGCAGTCAAAGCAAACAGTGCTTGGTGCCTCACACAGAAGCCACTCCCAACCCTCCATCAGCAGAGTGGCCTCTCTGAATTCCGAGACCGAATGAGTAAAAGTCACAACAGACCTCATGGAATTTTCTGCACTTTCAACAGAAGTAATTACAGTTGGGATGTTTTGTCCAGGGAAAGAAAAGTATGTTAAATAGAAGAAACTGGGGAAGGAACTGCGTGCCTCTCCTGCGGTTCCATACCGAAGACCCAGGAGTAGCCCGGAGGATGGCAAAGACCTCATTCTCACGGGCCGCAGGGCATAGACCTGCAGACATGCCAGAGTGCACTGTGGCTGGTGGCTGTGTGTTCCGACTCCTAGCGACCCTGTAAAGGGTTTCCGAGGCCGTAAATCTTTACAGGAGCAGAACGCCTCATCTTTCTCCCACGGAACGGCTGGTAGTTTTGAACTGCTGACCTTGCGGTTCGCAGCCCGATTCGTAACCACTACGCTACCAGAGTGCACTGGATGAGATGAATTCTACACAAGCATATTTCTGAAGCTTCCATCTTCAAAGGTCTAGTCACATAAAAGTAGCATCTCTAGCAATATAGCACTATTTTAGTCCAAACAAGAGTTTCCTTCATGTAGTGCTGTCTGCACAGTCCTTCCTGGAGTAGTATCCTGTAATGTGCACACTGAGGGATGATGATCCCAGGAGCGTTTCATCCTCAGGTTAGGGTGAAGTGGGGGTGGGGTCACGACAGTGACGATCTTCCCCTGGCATAGTCAACCTAAGGGAGGCACCTGATCCCACGTGGGATGCACATCCCTGGGGCTACGGTAACAGCTACAGCAGGTCGACTATGGAGAGTGTGTTTATGTAAGCGATAAGTAGAGGAAGAATGCAGCTAGGATGATTTCATTTTAAAACACCTGGGCTGATGGACTGGTTTGGAAAGGGATAATGGATGGTTGTGCAACGTAATGAATGTAATCCGTGTCACTGGGAAAAATGATTGAATTGGCAAATGTTTTACACTACGTATTTTTACCACAATTACAGAACAAAACATCGTGAACCAAGATATTGTTGTTAAGTGCTGTCAAGTCGGTTCCGACTCATAGTGACCCTGTACAGGGTTTCCAAGGAGTGGCTGGTGAGCTTGCACTGCCAACCTTGTGGTTCAAACCAAAGTATCGAAAGACTATTTGAATTGCTTCAAATTTTTTTTTTTTTGTAGACCTACCAAAATGAATTCATAATTAACATAAATGAACTTGGAGGTTACTAAGATTTGCCATTTCTAATGTAGCCAAAGATGTACTAATTTTAGTTGTTAACTAGCAATGGTATTTATATAAATGATGTATTAGTGAGAATTTGATCAGGGTGACAGCCTTGTGTTTTAGTGGCAAAACAGACGTGGCAATGTGGGATTGGTCACATAACTCTAAGTGACTTAATAACTGTCCCCTATCTCACTCACAGCCTTGCAAGTGGACACTGACATGACATATTCATTGTCATGACCCACTTCTACTTTCGTTGGAAAATAAAGTTACTATCTCAGGCTTTAATTATTTTGAGTTGAATGCACATGTTGAAGAAATACTCCACTACAAGTCCTTACCATACAGAACCCTGAGCTGTTGTATACATTGTCCCACAGTGTGTGCCCGCGACTTGATGACAGGCCACCTCACAGCTGTGTGATTTTGAAGCAAGTCACTGCAGACAAATCACTTTTGTGGCTGGAGGGGTGGGGACACAACCAGACCTTTCCTGTTTGTTGTGATTTAAACAAAATGGAATTAGTTGCATGTTTTCCAACTTCCCAGTGGTTTGTTAGCTTTAAATGTATATTCAAAATGAAATCATCTGAAAAGCTGATTTTTGCTAGCTTCCTATTCCTTACAAAGAGAATTGTCACAAGAATACGCAAAAATAAAAATTTGAGCAAGAAAAAAAATCCAGATCGTTTTTTAAAAGACTGGATGTTTTATAGTACATTCTGTTGTGGTCTCTAAACTCCTAAGTAAAGCATCTCCTGTTCACATTTATTTATGGAAGCAGAGTCACTGGGAGACTTGTCTATGAAGTCTCTAAATTTTGAATTCCCCACCTGAGCCAGGGCTTGTAATGGTTAGCACAAAACTACCAAGTGGCAGACAAAACATAAATCAGCCTGTAAGAACAGCCCTGGAAGGGTGACCAGCTATCCTGCTTGCCCGAGATAGAGGGGTTTCCTGGGATGTGGGTCTTCCAGTGCTAAATTTGGGGCACTGCTGAGTATACCCGGATGGTTGGTTACCTTAAGTACAAATGGGAAGGTGTTAAGACCATTTTGTAGGAGCTTGAAAAACTTAAGGTACTTTGAAACAAAGGAATAGCTACATATCCTCAGCCATGAGTAACTATTTAACCTCTTCACAACTTTTTGTTTTGGGGGTGCTGCAAGTCAATTTGTACTCATAGTGACCCCATGTGACACGGTAGAACTGCCCCATAAGGTTTTCTAGTCTGTAATCTTTGGGGAAGCAGATCACTAGATATCTCTACACTAGAGACGCTAGGTGGGCTTGAACTGCCAGTCTTTTAGGTAGCAACCAAGCACTTAAGCATTGCACCCTCAGAGCTTCTTCCATAGTTGTATTCTCATGTCGAAGCTAAGAAATTTAATAGATGGAATACTTTCAGCAAAATCTTGGACTTAACAGACAGGCTACCCAAACACCAAAGACACGGGGCCCAAGTGAAATCGATGCAGACGATAATTCTAGGACCTTGGGGTTCAAAGGATAAAGACGTGAATCAGATGCTGCCTAGAAGAAGGAACTGAATGAAGAAGCAAACTTGGAGACAAACTGAGGGGGATGTTACCAGCTAGCCTGACACAGTGTGGTCATTTTGAATTTTTGCAAGCAAACTTCCAATGGGACAGCAACTTGACCACCAAATTTCCTCACTCAGACCTCTAGCCAGTGTGCATGCTCCACATGGGTTGGGTTGGAGTGGTGCAGGCTCTTCCCTCAGCCTTCAGGATGACCAGGTGGGATTGGGAGCAATTGGGCAGGTTTTCCTGTGAGCGTGAGCGTGCTCCACAGAAATCTGTGTGCTGTGATAGGAAAAGGCAGGAAAGCGCTCCCTGGACTCTCCAACCTCCCGGAAGCCTTCCTAAGGTGGCAAAGGGAGAGGATTCCTCCCATGCCATGCGCAGTGATTGTGTGAGGAAGGATGTGGCTGTGGGCAGGAAACTGGAGGTGACAAGGATGGGAAGAAGGGAGTGTGGGAATCAGGAGAAAGGAAAGGAACAAAACCAGGTCATCAAAGATGACAACCACATAAAGGAAAGTGAAAGAATATATCAGGGTATAAAAACTCAACAGAAATTTGGAGAGAGATGATGGTGCTTGCATCACATGGTGAATGTAACTAACGTCCCCAAACTGTCTACACAAGAAAAAGTTGATACGGTAAATGTTTTAAATATATACATACATATAATTTACCACAATAAAACACAAATAGAAAAACGCATAATGACAATAAAAAAGAGACTGCCACATATGCCTCAGGGCCCAGGAACAAGGAATTCGATGGGCGAGAGCCAGCCGGGAGGGTGAGGGCTGTGCAGGTCCATGGATACTACTCCACCTACAGCTGGTGGCCTCCCTTAAGGTCCCGTTCTGAACATGTGGGGCCATAAGAGACCGCAGCCCTCCAGGATGACAGAAGACATTGCTCTTGGCAGACTCTTCGAAGCCTTCAGCGCAGGGAGCGTGGCTTGTGTGACCCAGACTGTCCTGTCATGGCCCTTTGTGGCTTATTTTCCCCATCAGTGCTCAAGGAGTCAGCGGGGTTTGGACTTCCTTCTGTTCTGGTACAATCAGGCCACAGCCTTACTGGGCTGTGCCTAGGGCCAGGAAGGAGGAGCCGGGAGAGCCGCCAGCACCACCCTGTGGGTGCTGGAGCATGGGAAGGGTGTTAAACCTGGCCCAGCACTAGCCTCCCTATACGTGTACGACTACAGCCTCCCTACAGGAGCCTGAAGACTGCTGTGGGTGCCATCGTG